GGGGGGGGGGACGAGCCAAAGGTGAGTAAGGGAGACTCTACAGTAATAGTAATTCAAGGAAGAAAAAAGGCTGTCAGTGAAAAATGAAATAGCTGGAAATTAGGAAGACAAAGGGCAGAAAAGTAGGGGAGGGGAGGGAAGGAGAGAAAGGCGGGGAAAGAAAAGTGTAAGAGGCCAGGTCTGGCAGGTACCTGGTGAATCAGCTGTTAGGCAGGTTGTAGTGTGTCATAAATCCAATGTCTATATTGAATCCATGATTTTTTGTATCCAGTAGATTTGTGAAGTGAAGTTCATGGGTTCGTCTATGAAAAGTGTTTTGTAAGTTCCTTTTGAGGATTTGTGGAGGGGTGATAGTTTCTTGTTCTGCAGTATCTTAATGTTTGGAGGACTTACCCGGGGAGTGGGAGACGGGGGTACATTCCCTCACTTAGTGGTGCCCTTCCACTCCTCCTTTTGAAGTTGGGCCATTTCACAGGAAAAAATGTAAGATTCGTTCAGCCAGAACAGAGCCCAAGCAGGAGCACAGCTCTGTAACCTACTAATTAGAGGACTTTCTCTGGAGGGAGGGAATTTGGATTCTGCCCCTTTCCTCTCTTCCCTTTCCCTGCCTCCGCCCAGGTCCTCTGAACTATGTCAGTATTGTTTCCAGTGTTTAATGTAAAACACAGAAACCATCCTGGGAATAGAGACCATAACTCAGATGTTCCACTTTCCAGGCGAGTGCCTTAACTAACAGGCTGTAGTCCAGCTCCCTTGGCTCTTAACAAATCCTCTGTGCTCTTCTGCACAGTGATACAGTTTCAGCCAGAGGGAAGCATACTGCCCTCAGCCAGAACATCCTCCAGTCCGAGGGTTAGGCACTCTTCTGGGTAGTTTTTCCCCTCATACAACGGAAGGAAGTGAACACTTGTCTCACATCCTGGGCAAATGCTATTATTAGAACAAATGTACAAGTGCTGCAATGCTGCTAGTCTGAGGACACCAACACATGAAACCCCTCAAGGGACAGAGATGCAGAAACACATTTCTGGTTCCTGATCAGGCTTATGTGATCTTCTTAGCTCTGTCAAAACAGAGGCAATGCTGAGCACGAGACACAGGAGCACTTTCAGGTACCCACAGAGATTTAAAGTAGCAAAGTGTCCAGGGAGGTTAGGCACTTCTAGAGTTGGACAGCAGTTGAGCAGTTTTCCAGGAACACAGCTTTGGGCTTAAATACCTACATTCTTCTTCAGTCCAACTTCTGGCACCTCAGTCTGCTTTTGGATTTAGGTCTGACCCTTGCTACACAACTATGAACAACAGAGAGCAAGTGAACGTTGGTATTTCTTGTAGCAGGCCTACTCTCTCCCATTTCCGGAAAAATTAATGGTTCTCTACATGAAAAATGATGTGCCTTTTATATCACAGCTAAGTCTAGCAAGCAACGACTTTGTATTTTCAGTGCTTTATGCATAGTATCATATTATAGTGCTTAGGGTTGGAAGGGACCTAAACAGGTCATCAGATCCAACCCCCTGTCCCGGGCAGGAATGGGTGCCGGGGTCAGATCACCCCAGCCAAATATCTGTCCAGACTCCTCTTGAAGACCCCCAAGGAAGCAGAGAATACTACCTCACTTGGGAGCCCGTTCCAGAGCCTGGCAGCCCTAACCGTAAAGTAATGTCTCCTGATGTCCAGCCTTAACCTACTCTCTAACAATTTGTGGCCGTTATTCCTAGTAACCCTGGGTGGTGCCTGGGGGAACAGAGCCTCCCCCAATTCCTGATGGTCCCCCCTAGTGAGTTTGTAAATGGCCACCAGATCCCCTCTCAGTCTTTTCTTGTGGAGGCTGAATAGATTCAGGCCCTTCAGCCTCTCTTCGTACGGCCTGACCCACTGCTCCTGACCATGCGAGTGGCCCTCCTCTGGACCCTCTCAATGCTAGCTACATCCCTCTTGAAGCGCGGCGCCCAGAACTGGATGCAGTACTTCAACTGTGGCCTGACCAATGTTGCATAGAGGGAAGGATCACCTCCCTGGGCCTGCTCATGATGCATCTGTAGATGCACAACAAGGTGCAGTTAGCCTTACTGACTGCTTCCTCGCATTGGCGGTCCATGTTCATCCTGGAGTCAACAGTGACTCCAAGATCCCTCTCTGCCACCGTGTTGACAAGAAGGGCGTTCCCCAGCCTATGGGTGTGTTGCTGATTCCTTCTCCCTAGATGCAGCACCTTGCACTTGTCTGCATTGAATTACATCCTATTCTCATCCACCCACCCCTGTAACCCGTCTAGACCTAGCTGGATCCTGTCCCTCCCCTCCAGCATGCCCACCTCGCCCCACAACTCAGTGTTGTCAGCGAATTTGGACAGCGTGCTTTCCACACCCACATCCAGATCGCTGATAAAGATGTTGAACAGCACAGGCCCCAGAACCGAGCCCTGGGGGACTCCACTGCCCGCATCCCTCTAAGTCGAAAATGACCCGTCCACCACCACTCTCTGGGTGCAACCATCTAGCCAATATGCCACCCATCTGACTGTATAGGCATCAATGTCTCAGTCACCTAGTTTTTTTGAGGCAACAGTGTCAAAGGCCTTCTTAAAGTCCAGATCGACGACATCCACCCTGACACCCTCATCCAGGGACTTTGTGACCTGATCATAAAAAGAAATCAGGTTAGTCAGGCAGGATCTGCCCTCAATGAACCCATGTTGGTTGCCCCTGAGCATTACCTCCCCTGCTGGGCCATTGGAGATGTGCTCCTTGATAATTTTCTAAAAGTTCTTCCCAAGGACCAAGGTAAGACTGACTGGCCTATAATTGCCGGGGTCCTCCTTTCTCCCCTTCTTGTAAATGGGGACCACATTGGCCCTTTTCCAATCCTCTGGTACCAGGCCAATGCCCCACAAGCACTCATAGAGCCGTGCCAGGGGCCCTGCTATGACCCCCACCAATTCCCTCAGCACCCTGTTCATGGTTTAATTCACATCACTATTCATTAGTGTCCTTGGGAGCTACATGGCTAATTCCCCAAGCAACAGCTTCCATTTTTTCTGACATCATTGCAGTCATAACCATATCGTAATAGAGATGGCTCCCCACGAGCGTGGTGCAGTGTCAGGGTTTGCAAGAAGTACTTCCCCACCACAGGGCTAGAATGGTCAGTATGATAACCTGAAAGCCACCATCATGAGGACTCTTCTTGGTGGCTCTAAAAGCAAACACAGAAAATGGATTTAGACTGTGTCTGCACCAAGCTTCTGATCAATACAAAGTGAAGCAAACACAACAGTGGAAATGCTATAGTAGCAGTGGTGAAGAAGCCACCATATTTACCTTGGACAACAATCTCCCATTCTGAAAATCAGTAGGGTAGATCTGTGGTAGTTTATGGCCCTAAACGCTTCTGTTCCCTTAAAACTTTTAGGTTGTAGCTACACCACAGCAGCAGACTGTGCAGTCTCACCAATGATGCCCATCACCTTCTCCTGCTCCGTGGAGGTACTATGGTTACAAGGTACCATGATTACACAGCCACGTTTAAGAAGTAAATCAATTCTAATGCTCTTAGGAAAAATACTCTCCGACCACCAGCTCCCCCCAAAGTATGTCATATGCACACAAAGTTACGCTGACAAAAGCAGTCAAGGAGAACAAAAACGAGGTTCCTGTGGGACAATATGCCACATAGCAGGCAGGCACACTTGTTACAAATGAACAGGTCTTGCATGTTGTAGGGAAAATTGCTCACTGTTAAGGTATTCATGTGGATAGAGTCTTAAAAACTCACCAAGTATTAAGGACATAAGTAATAGGGTTGGGGGAAATTTTACATCCAAACTTTTTCAGTGGAAAACTGGGTTTCTGAGTGAAGTATTTTTTGAGAGAAAAATACCTGCTTTCTGTGGAATATTTTAACCTTTTCCTCAATAAAAAAGAACCCGCCAAAGCCGATAAGTTGTTTGTTTTGACTGGGAAATATAATTTCCCATGATGTGCCACACCTATGGGATTGTCATGGCACACCGTGGCTCTCAGCAAGAAGAGGGTGTTCACACTGTAGCTTCCTGAGGTAGTCTGGAGGCTAACTTGAAATTTTCAGCCAAAAACCTTTCCACCAAAAATTTTCTGATGGATTGAATGATGAATTGCCCGCTTACTATCACTCTGCATAGACCAAGCCAAAAAATGAACAGAGTGGGTGTAAGGAATGCACTGAGGTCACTCTGGGCGCCACCCCATCAAGCTCTCAGACCGGCTTACTGGTGAGGACACAGTACCTCTCTAGCTGCAGGTACGTTACATTTTGATGCATTTGGCTTGTTTGGAGCAGGAAGGAGTGGGCAGAAAGTGGTTTAATGGTGTCATTCTGTACCACGGGAGAAGGCAGCCTAGATATGCCCCAAATCTCTATTTTGATATGAACAGGCCACTTTACTGTATAGGTACAGCTTGGTTATATGTGGAACAACAGAGTAGGCTGAGCTGCCTGCGTCAGGTGGGTGATATTCCAGTGCCACTCCCAAGCATTTTGTTTTTACCACATTAAATCTGGAAAATTTCAACAACAAAAAAGAGTTTTTAAAAAACAGAAACAACTACCAGCATACGAAAAATATCTTTGTTATTAAGAATACTTCATATAATCACAATCATTTTATACATAATCTAGTATTTCATATACTTATTATAAATAAAGAGACCAATATAATTATCAAAATGTATAACAAAACTTGTGTGCCTATTGGCAAATGAAAAACAAATTCACAGACCCAGTCCTCATCTTACATTGATACCGACTGGATTCTAATGTGTTATTTATGAAATACAACTGGACAGTGACTTGTTAGAAACCCTTACCTGCAATACCAATGAATTCTGTGTGGATTACTCTAAGGCCACTTAATCTTAATTTTTCCCCCTATTTTTCAGATTCACCCCGATTACAAAGACAGCTTTCAGGTGACTATGTTTTACTTCAGTATTTCAACTTTTTGAGAATAGCTTGTATAGGGAAGACTCCATCAGCTTCGTTGATTTTCTTAGAAATAAACACAAACCCACAAGTATTAAAATTTTCTCCACCACTACACAATTTTGCAGATGTTTCCATTAAATACCTTTTATATCCCACATTAATAAAATAATGAACTCTTTATCATCATTCTATTTATAACTCAACAGTTTAACTTATTTCTTTCTAATTAAATTATACATAGTATTTAATTATACAAAACAAAGCTGTCATGTGCAGGAGACTAAATAATGATACTAGATGTAAGAGCAGCTGTTTGTATGTTCAAATGTTGGATTCTTGCTTCTTGTAATTTTAAGAGCCATGACGAAAAATTATTTACAGCCAAAGAACCCCTTTCCCCAGTGACCCAGCTGGAATCTGGAAGCTATACTTTTGTATTTATACAAAGTGTCAGGTTAGTTGAAGAAAAGAGCATGGCTTACCTTTCCATCTGAGGATTTGTGCCTATATAAATATCCTAAACAAAGTGATTTCTGATATAGCTCAGTTATTGTGAAAATTACCATAAGGTTAATTGAAAACATAACAAGAATGGTCCATACAAACCATATCTGTACTATAAACATGCCCGCAGTTAAATCACCTTAGGCAGTTCTGCACAAAAGGGGGTTCCCTGCCATGTGGAAATAGGAGACCTGCTTCAGCTGCACCAGGCCCAGTCCCTGGGATCCAACTAAGGCACTTTGTGCATGTGAGGACCATGTGGAGGGAGGGAGGGACACAGGACAGGACAGGACTAGGGGGAATAGCTACTCCCCGCAATCCCTCTGCCATGCTTGTTCCATAGAGGGACAAAGCCCTTTTGACCCCACACCCTCCAGCACTAGAATGACATGATGGAAATACTACAGCTCTGATTCAGGAATGGACTTCATCATGGGGGTAACTTTAAGCACATCATCAGTCCCAACTGCCTTTAGTGGAACTACTCATATTCTTACTGTCAGGCATGCGCCTCGGCACCATCTTGAGTCAGGGTGAGATTTCTCTTCCATTAGGTATGTCTATGCAACAAGGCAATTTGCCCCTTTGAGTTCTCTGGTCAACCCAAACTGAGGAAGCTTCTGATGCATTATTTGATACACCTGAAAAAGCAAAGCCTAGGACTAAAAATCAGTGTCCAATTCCAGATCACATTTGCAGGGGGAGGGAATCTTGAATGATTGCCCATCATTAGTCTGCATTTTAAAAAACAATCAACTTGATCCAGCAGGTTGTATTAAACGTGTACCTATGTGTACATTTAGAGTCTATGAATATGACGTGCATATGCAGTTCCTACAAGAAATTAACTCAGTAGGCCACAGACACTGCTGATGCTTTAGGTTACTTGCATTTTGCTGTCCATTTGTCCCTTGGACACACTTTTTTTCTTCCAAAACACTACCTCTCCACCCCTTGGTTGTCAGAATTACTTGAATCAGCAACTCAGGAGACAGAGATTTTTAGAACATTGAGGGTCTTTGAGCCACAGTATAAGAACCACTGTAATTAGTCTAATCTGCATCAATCACACAGTTCCTTTTAATGTGGGGCACACTTTTAAGATCAAGAGAACAAGAGTGAAGAAATACCTTACTTATTAACATTGCCCGAAACATACAGGTGGCAAGTAACTGGAACGCGGTTAGAGGAACTGAAATGTCCTCCAAAGAAAATATACACAAGAGTTCCAGATTTCACAAACTTCAGGAAGCTTTTCTGAGTATGCTGGCTCCGCTACTGACAGCATGCCGGGTCAGCATTACAGCCTAATCTGCAACATTTGTATGACAAGGACAGTGCTATAAGTGCAGACATTATAGCATATGTTCTCTTGCAAAGAAGGCATGAAAGTGATTAAAAAACTAAACAGAGATTTTGGGAAAGACCTGTTTGTTTCACTCAAGTTTGCTCCTGGAGGCGTGTTCAATACCTGAAAATGAAATGGAGAATAAAAGGTTTTCCTATGCATTTGTTACAGGGATTTTAACATTAAACGTGCTGTAAAATCAGAACCCATGCAAAATATGACATTGAAGGAAAATGCGCTTAACACACTGAAAAATTGTTCACATAGTATTTAGATCAAAATGGTGGCAAAAACACCCTCAGCTTCAGCAATTTGAAACAGATACTGTACACGAACGGAGTGCAATCTGTTCTGTGACACCAACTTTTCAGTGTAGAGAGATGTAAGGAATGAGTGCCTTTTCAATACTTTATTCCCACTTGCAAACACGATTCCCTCTCTGCTTAGAAGGCAGGGGGGTGCCATACATGGGGGGAGGGAGGGTTGTCTTTTGTGCTCCTTTGACCCTCCCCAGCACCAATGAAAGTGGGATCAGAATCAGACCGCTTATGTCAAGCAGTGATTGATTTTGTTTATAACAAGCTAACCTATCTCAGTGATGCCTGCTCTTCCTCTCCAGCTCTTTTGTTGCTCTTGTGTCTTCTCTTGTATCTCTCCTGTTCTGATGTTTAAATAAAAACCTGGACAATAATGTAATGATTTATATCATCAGTGCATTTTTTCTGTACAGCTCTACACAGTTTTCCTGGGCACGTTTAACCAAGCCTGGCTAATGATGGGCTGCTTTCTCTGTCCTGGGGTCCCTGGGTGCAGTCCTTTGTCTGTAGTCTTCTCCAGAGCCCAGATCTACCGTGTCATGATAGTTCATGAATTCCTGAGGTAAGGGAAATTCCTCCGTTGATGAGTGAGTCCTGTGTCCAAACACTCTCTCCTGCAGCTCAGCAATGTCATTTCTGATGTCTGCCATCATCAGCAGCAGGAAGTCAAATGAGCCTGGAGGGCCCTGCAAATATGTTGTGCAGTCATTATTCATACTCATTACTTAGCACTCATCTGGTGCTTCACACTTTCCATGCACTGAACACACACTGATATAATCCTCCCCGGGGCGCAATTCAGGCATTGGTTGTATAACTACTTTCTGCTTGAAATAAATTGTCTCCCTTTAAATAAGCCTTGAATTACCTCAGAAAACAAACTTAAAATAATAGAATTAACCCTTGCCCAGATGAACTGTCCAAGGTCTACATCCCACCACAGTCCCCATGACTTGAAAACCACACTTTTAAAGACATGAAGGTGTATGGATACCAGTGGGAGTACTGGCCTGCTACACCAAGGCTGATTTTCACCCTGACAAACAAAAGTGGGGTTCACCATCCCCCATCTCCATCTTTTCCTCTTCTAATTTTTATTCATTAACCATACCAAGCACCCTTTCACTGGCCTAATGCTTCTCTCCCCTTAAGGAAACCATTTGCTGGCATTGTCCCAGTTAGGTTTGTTACTGCCATTTACTATCAGTTAGCTAATTAGTCCCATTGGAAAGACAACAAACTAGAAAAACATGCAGGTTTTGCTTTCAATGTGTCCAGTGAAGGGAGAAGACAGTGAGTGGATCAACAAGTGTTCTGGTAATGGAAATAATGAAATTATTTTCTGTGTAATAAACCTTTTGACAAGTACAAGCTCCTCTTTACAGTACAAAGGTTTGCTTTTCCCATTGCTCTCTGACAGTGACACTATTCCCACTCCCTTCTCTTCAGTGGAAATGCCAGGTGGGTACATTACGGCTGGAAGTGACACTTACAGGTGTCCCTTTTGGTCCTGGTGCTCCTCTTTCCCCCTGTAATAAAAACCAGCTTCATGAATGCATTGCAATTAAAGCCATCAGAAAATTATACTGCTTTGCCATTATTCACATACCACCCCTGCTAGCTTCATCCAATAAAGCAAATAAGTTAAGGGGAGCTAGCATAGCTGCCACCTCATCTGACATACTGGGAACTGGCCCAGGATCTCCACAAGCAGAGGTAGGTTGAACTGAAGAGCAAAAGCTTCCTAGTTGGGGCTGTGCAACTCTCACTCCCTGTGTATGTAGCACTGAACAGGGTCCATAACACACACTTGCCAGTGTATTAAGCAGGCATTGCAGGCTCATGGGTCAGGAAGAAAGTCTGCTCAGTGTATACCATGAAGGAATTAGCAGCTGGATCTGACAGCTTTGTTTTGTGTGGAAACTTCAGCCAGGTTTCCTTGTCAGAAACTGGTCTTCATGACTGTCCCAGCTCTTGCTTTCTTTTACATTCAGCTCTGAAGCATGATCAAAGGAAGCATTATAGTCCTGAAATTCCTAGAAGCGGTCACCTTTTGGCAGACACTGGTTTTAGGAATGTATGCCATAGTCATACCCTCTCTTGGCCTTGCCCAACTCCACAACCCTTAGTTCAGTGCAGAATTTTGCTCAGATTTCTTCACATTAGACACCAGTCTCTCTGTACAGGCACTAAGGACAATTAGTAAGTGTAAGCATTGCTGCCTTCTGTTTCCATGCTTTCCACAGCCACATTCAGCAACTGGTAAATTAGAGGATCACTGAAGTAGCCCCAAGGCAAAACTTTCAAGCCTTGTCTGGCAAAAATAAAAGTCTCTCCCTCCCTCTCTTTCACACACACATGCGTGCACACAAATAATCAATTTTTTAAAATGTTTGTAGAATTAACTCTCCAATAGCCTGAAGATATAAAATAAATGTATAACAATTTCCAATCAAAACCACTGCTGGTTGTATAACAAAGCCCAACATAAAATATGCACCCAAGCCAAGAGTACAGGCCAGAGTTTTTTCTCCACTCAGCACAGCTCTGTAATAGTTGTCTGGCTGAACATCTGATGCATTGGGTAAGCAGCCAACTACAAGATTTAGTTTCTATTATCATTTGTTAGATATAAGACTAAAGTACATTTTTTTCCTGCAACAGTTGAGATCAACAAGAAACATCCAGTTTCCTGGGCTCTGAACATAGCAAGGAAATAAGGCTGAAATACCAAAACAAGAAGCCCCAGAAAATGAGATCAGAAGGATACAGTCATGCAGAGAACAGGTTGCAGAAGAAAGCAGCAGCTCCTGTTGACAACGCTCAGAGCTAGAAGACCTGGATCAATCATGTGGTGCAGACAGGGACAGCACAAGAAGGAGCACAGAAATGAGAAATCTGTAAGCAGAGTTAAGCACATTTCATATGTGTGATGACAGAAGTGGGAGAGACATAAGGCATTTTCAGCTGGGGTTGCAGAAGAGAAGTTTCATAAGTAGAGCACACAGAGACAACTGTCTTAGTACTTCAGAGTAGCTGTGATTGTCCTTTGTTCATCTTTCCTAAAACACGTTGCTATTTATGGCACAGAGATGGATATATAGACATGTATTGATATGCACTCATACATTAAGGTGACCCTCCAATTAAAAATAATGACATTTAGGCCCACTTGTATGTTCTACCAGATAAACAATATGGGTGTAGGAAACTTCATTTTAACTATACCTTTTTCTATTCCTCCTTGAACATGCACTTTGTGGCCATATGCTACAACATTTGTGTCATAAGCTAGCTGCTTTCTTTAGATACACAAACTTTGTACCAATAAATGGCTTAAAGCTGTGGGACATATGTAAGCTGAAGGAGTTCCATGGCTTTTCACTGAATTAAACTGATTCACATCACCTGAAGCTATGGCCTGCTATTACTGAGGCCTCAGGGCAAATTTTTAAAAACCACCCACAGGATTAGAAGCTTGAGTCTCAAGCAGCCTAGCTGTTTAGGTACCTCTTTGTACTGAAAGTCAGTGGACTTGGGTAATTAGGTACCTAATAGGGTGCTGTTACATGTTACCTTTAAGCCATTCTAAATCTGTGGAATATTATACCCTCTTAAATTTAGAACGGTTTCAGAGCAATCCCAGGCTAAGGCTTACTGCCATTTCAGACCTGACAAATGTGACTTCATGGAGTCATTGAATCATAGAAGTCGGGTCGGAAGGGACCTTGTAGATCTTCAAGTCCGACCCCCTGCCTGGGCGGGAGAAAAGACTGGACTCAAATGAGTCCAGCCAGGTAGTCATCAAGCCTCTTCTTAAAGACCCCCAGGGTAGGAGCCAGCACCACTTCCCTAGGAAGCTGGTTCCAGCTCCTAGCCGCCCTGACCGTGAAGTAGTTCTTGCAGATGTCTAATCTAAACCTACTCTCTAATAATTTGTGTCCATTGTTCCTTGTTATGCCAGGGGGCGCTGGGGGAAACAGTGTCTCCCCTAAACCCTTCTGGTCCCCCCTAGTGAGTTTATAGACAGTCACCAGGTCCCCCCTCAGCCTTCTCTTGTGAAGGCTGAACAGGTTTAGGTCCCGCAGCCTTTCAATGTAGGGTCTGCCCTGTAGTCCCCAGATCATGC